TGGGTCTCTGCAACAGACTCCCAACTAGTGTCCCTGCTTCTGTCCTTGCTTCTCTTTGTTATATTCTCAGTGCACCACCAGAGGGACTCTAGGGAAACTAGTCAGATCATGTCACCCTTCTGGCTTCTCCTCTCACTTATCTCCTTTTGCTGGGTCCTTGGCTCATTTGATCCCCACTGCTCCTCAGCACCAGACACTCCCAGCCTCAGGGCTTCTGTGCATGTGATTCTCTGCCTACACTGTTCTTGCTCCACATATCTGCACTGATTAATTCTTTACCTCATTGTTGTCTTTATTCAAATGTCATCCTTCTTGCCTAACAGGTTTATTTTAAACAACAACAACAACAACAAAATCCATCTAACAGTTCTACCTTTTCTTCTTTATTTTTCCACACCTTTTCATGTAGTATATGAATGCACATGTATATGTATACTTTAGGTACTTTTATGTTGTATAACAAACATATTTCTTAGTTTAGTATTTGTCTTTCCCACCAAACTTTAACACTATAAGAGCAAGATATTTTTTATGTTCACTGAACTTCAATTTCTAGAACTTTGTAGATGATGAGTGARTATTTGTTGAGTGTTCAGACAGTGTCTTCTCAGTATTACCTATCAAGCTACATGCTGTTCTCTCAGTCCTAAGAAAAATGGTATACCTCTTTAGAACTTTGCTTGCATTTTCCAACCTCAGCATATTTCAAATTATAAAACCCCATTCAACAGAGCTGATACAATGGAACTAAGTCTCCATGAGAGAGCCGGTCAGAATTTTTGAATTCAGGAGAACCACAGTAGAACATGACTCTATAATTAAAGTAGACTCTTAAAAATAAAGGACAAAATGTTTYTCAAAAAGATCATACAAAGATTAGATACCTGAGACTGGAGGTAGAGCTTAGCATGTGAGGCTTCTAATTCAATCCCCAGCACCAAAAAAAAGAAGAGGGAAATAAGTGGAGTGATAAATCTGCCTCCTAAACAGATCTAAAGAAATGCTATCTTACAGATAAGTTTGCATTCTCTGGATTTTGATTCAAATGGAGTTATAAAATACGGATCTGAAATTCATCCATGTCATTGTATATTTCAATAGTTCATTCCTTTTTATTGCTAAGTAGTATTCCATGATAAGGATATACCACATTTTTTTCTTCATTCACTTCTTTAAGAACATTTTTCTTGTCTTCTTTACTTTYTGTAAACTGGCAATTGTAGCTAAAGAAATGATTAGAGTCAGGTTCAACTTTTTTGGCATATCAGATTTCATCAGGAGGCACATAATGTATCAACAACACTAAAACTGATCATTTAAGTAAAGGTGGGGATCCTTGTGTCTTTTGATCTTTTTGTTACATTCATTGAATTCTTTGTTTCAGGTGCACTGGTTTTCTTTATATTGGTTATTTTTATCCCCATAGCTATATCTGTGTTCAGACTTCTTTATTTTCATGGTCTTTTTTCTTTTCATACTTTGTTATTTTTCTCAGTCCTTTTTGCCATGTTTAACTGATTTGGCTTTGAGTTGTGTTTATTKCATTCTTTTCTGTTTCTATTTTTTCCTAATAGTATTGGGGTCCTTGATGTGTCTAGTCTTTCTTTTCATCTCATTCTGTCACCTCATCTCTGATACCTTTGTTTCATTGATTACATGTTCTCTTTAGTGTCTCCTAGAGCAATGTCACTCAAAATATTTGTTCTTGACAACATAAGAAGTATGCACTAGAATGAAAACCATGTTTCTTCCTTCACTGAGAGTATCTTGCTATGAAAAAAGCACAGGCTGAACTAAGTGGYTTGCTTACTGATATAGTTGACTTAAATCTAGGCACAGTCTCCTTTTCTTGTTATAGACTGATAACAATCCAAAGYCTAGCAGCTTGTCCATGGACAACATTTTGAGTAACACTGTCATAGAACAAAAATATTTGTTTGGTTACTTTTTCTTTAGCTTCTTTGTTATGTATTTMATAACAAAGCTGCTAACATTTAGAGATCACTTACTATGTGCCATGTGCCATTTTAAGCCGTTTTGCTCTTCATAAAAACCCTAAATTTAGGTAGTGTAATTATCATAATTTTACATATGATGAGATCAAAGCACAAAGATATAGAGTAGCTTGTACAATAAGATACATAGTTGTTTCATAGCAGGGCTGGGATTTACACACAGGCTGTCAGATTCTGGGCTGCATTGCTTTAATAGAAAAGGAATTTTGAATTTGTCTTCTATATGTTATGATATGTTATTTAATTGCCTGCAATCTTTTTGCATGCTTGCCATAGCACATTTGCTGTCTTGTTCTTTCACTCCTGTTATCCCTATTTTGTTTTTGTTTTGGTACCAGGGATTGAACCCAGGGGTGCTTAATCACTGAGCATATCCCCAGCCTCTTTTATCTTTTTATTTTGAGACAGGGTCTGGCTAAGTTGCTCAGGGTCTCGCTAAGTGGCTGAGGCTGGCCTTGAACTTGCAATCCTCCTGCCTCAGTTTCCCAGGTCACTGGAATTACAGGCACACACCACTGCGCCAGGCAAGCCCTCTTTTTTTTTAAATTTGTTTTATTTTATTATTTTTTTTTATTCGATACACATGACATTACAATGATCTTGGTAATTCATACATTTAATTCATTGGGGTATAATTTCTCATTCTTCTAATTGTACAGATTGCAGAATCACACTGGTCATAGAGTCACCTGTATACATACAGCAATCATAATGTCTATTCTATTCTGCTGCCCTTTTTATTAATGAAGTTGCTGGCTCAGAGCTGGGACAGTCTGGTCCTCTCCTTTCTCCCAGCCCTAGGAACCACAGTGATGAGTCCTACCATCTCCCCACCTCAGTCACAGGAGTCACGGTGCTGGTGGCAAACATGGATCTCTAGCAAAGAGCTTTACACTTCTCTTCCTGTTGGCTGTCTCTTTATTCCCTCTCTCCAAATTAGAAGGTTACAGCATTTTTCAGAAGTTGTCACTTTCTTCTCTGGTCTGACTAGGCAGCTGAGAGTGCTTTCAAGTTGGCACAACACATTATAAATYTCTGAAGTCTTTTTTTTTCTTTTTATGCTGACTAGAATTTAAGAAAAATAAGACAAATTCATGATTCTCATTGTTTAATTTATTTCAAATCATTTTGTGATCTGGCTTGCATACAAGTTTATATTAGAAGTGTTACATATTTCTTGATGAAGAGCACCGCTTTGCACTGGCTAGTGATAGGCAAAGTCATTTTAATTGGCACTACACTAGTAAATAGATGCCTCAATTGGTTTAACAAATGTGTTCATATGCGGAGGAAGCTTCTTTTGCAGGTTTGCATGGTAGAACCTTTTTCATAATGCAGTAACAGAAGTCACCAGTAAATCCTAACCAATGGAGAGAGCCCAAATTAATTTGGTTTTATTATTTGAGATGTATGGCTGTCATATTTTAGAGTTATTATGTCTTAGAATACCTCTTTGTAACTGGAACTGTATACCAAAGAACCACATCCTAAAGTACAGATGTAGTGATTGACAGGCAGTGGCCAGCAATTTTCATTCCTTTATTAGACAGAGGCAGCAGCAAACACTTTTACTCTTTATATACATTAAAATGAAATGCTGTATGTTTTTTTTCTTTAATGTTTTCTTAACATAACAGTTTCACTACTTCTGTTGAATAGTTTCTTCTCAATCTGAATGATTTTAGGTATATGTAGTTGTGTTACTTAAGTCATTCTGAATATAATTATACTTCCTTTTTGAACTCTGGACTTTGCCCATAGATAGCTAATAAAAATGTTCTGGAATATAGCCTGTGGCTCATATTATAAAATATGAAACCTGTACTCATTCTAAACTTTCTATCTTTTGATAGAAGAACTGCTTATGGRGAGCAGGAATCACTAGTAACCTTGCCAATTTTCTGTAGAGTTATTTAAACAACACTTCACATTGGGGTATTTTTCTTTCACAACTAATCTAATTTTTCCACTCAGAATTTAGAATTTTTGATTATAAAGTAATGAATTTAGACTACATTGGTCTTTTTTTTTTTAAAAGAGAGAGTGAAAGAGGAGAGAGAGAGAGAGAGAGAGAATTTTTAATATTTATTTTTTAGTTCTCGGCGGACACAACATCTTTGTTGGCATGTGGTGCTGAGGATCGAACCCAGGCCGCACGCATACCAGGCGAGTACGCTACCGCTTGAGCCACATCCCCAGCCCCTACAAATGTCTTTGTTGATTCACTAAAGAAAATTACAAGTCTTGGTTTCTAGATTTTGTTTCCACATTGAGATGTTAACTGTAGGTGAATAAATAAATTTTCTTCAGTATTTCTAGGATTAGATGGAAAAATATGTTCCTTACTTTTCACACCTCCGAATTATAATTTCTCTACCAGCTTTGCTACCACAATAAGGCCTGACTCCAGACATTAAAAAAAAAAAAAAGTGAAAAGTGGACACTGTTTCATATTTTCTCTTTGGGCTGAATCACTAAAGTTGCTGATATCCATCTTTAAGATATTTGCATCTTATTTGGTATTTGTGCTTATTTTTAGACAAAAATAAATTCTTATTTAATACTTGAATATTCTGGTTTTTAAAATATTTTCCTGCTTCTAGTCTATATAATAGTTTGTTGGAGAAATTGAATTTAGACCCCATATTGGTAGGACTAGTATGTTAGCTTTTCATTAAAATACCAAAGAATTTTACTTTAACCTAGAAGTTAATATAATGCTAATATAATGTCATTTAAATTTTGCAAATGTTTCTTGCTATATTAAATTGAACCCTCTGTTTAGCTCACCATGGATTCCCTCTGGGAAGCCTTGTAAAGTTGTTAGAAGACTAGTAGTTTAATTTTCCAATTACCTGTTTGTCATTTCTTTCTGACTATTGTAGCCTTTTTGAGATTTGGGGGTTGAACTAAAGTTTTCATTTTTAATCTTGTAATTAAATTCACAATAATCTTCTGCTTTGTTGTTTCTTCTTTTAGATTGCAAAGAAATGCTGAGAAATAAATAAAACTTTCCTCTTCTACCTTGGACATTTATCATGGGTATCGGGAAGTCTAAAGTAGGGATCTGCCCTTTTTCTCTCTCTTGGGGTAAAAGCCACAGTGTGGATACAAGTCAAGATCATTGTGAGTCAGASCCCAAGAAATTGGAAGTTATCTCCTTGGGCGATGTTGTGGAGCAGAACAATACCACAGAGGAGCAAATAGATGGGCAGGAAGGAGCTGAGGCAAGGGAAGAAATTCCTGAAGAAGAAGCAGAAGAAGAGGTGTTCCTTAAATTTGTGATACTGCATGCAGAAGATGACACAGATGAAGCCCTCCGGGTCCAGAGTCTGCTACAAAATGACTTTGGTATCAAGCCTGGAATCATCTTTGCTGAGATGCCATGTGGCCGACCACATTTACAGAATTTAGATGATGCTGTCAATGGGTCTGCGTGGACAATTCTATTATTGACTGAGAACTTTTTAAGAGATACCTGGTGTAATTTTCAGTTCTATACATCCCTAATGAATTCGGTGAACAGGCAGCACAAATACAACTCTGTCATACCTATGCGGCCCCTGAATAGTCCCCTTCCCCGGGAAAGGACTCCCTTTGCTCTGCAAACCATCAACGCTTTAGAGGAAGAAAGTCGTGGCTTTTCTACACAAGTAGAAAGAATTTTTCAGGAGTCTGTATATAAGACACAACAAACTATATGGAGAGAGACAAGGAATTTGGCACAAAGACAATTTATTGCCTGAGATGAAACACAGAACACATGGCGGGCTCCTGTTTTGTTGCAAGCCAAATGATTAATCTTCTCTTGAGAAAGCAATTTCTGAGAAATGTTTTAATAAAAGAGCCTGCTCTTACAGAAACCTGTGGAGCACAAGAAACATACATTTCTGCTGGATAATCTGTAGAATTGTGGTACTCTTTGATGTTTCAGTGAACTCAAGAACCTTCCTCTCATGGTTTTCCTTGTTCACAGATATGACAAAAGATATTTTCATTTCATATTCCTTGAATCGAGCCTTGAACAAAAGCACATATGACAGATATTTTCAAAATGTGACACCACTTCAGTCTCTGAATTTTGTTCTCAAAAGACACATAAAAGAAAATGACCACCCTCCTTTTGAGGCACTTGTGAATGTTTCAAGAAGGCATTCCAGGAACAGAGACCCAGAAATACRGGTTGCCAGAATAGAACATTTAGAATGTTGAGTGCTGATGAATGTGAAATCAGAAATAGATGTGAGAATGGGAGGGTTTTTAAAAAGAATACAGTCAAACGTGTTTTCCTTTCTGCTGGAATTTGCATATTTGGAGGCAATTCCCACCACTGATTAACAGTCCTTTTGACAGTGTGGTCTTTAGAGACTCCATGGAATGGTGGTARGACTCCATAGTGTGGCAGTTAGGGACTCTGTGAAGACGTGCCTGCCCCAGACTCTCCATGTTAGTCACCATCTGTAACCAGGGTTTTATTTTCAGAGCTTCTGAAAAGCATATGATTGTGTGTGATTAGCAAGATATTCTCATTTAAAATCAATAACCGCTCTTATAATAGTCTTTTAGAAGTTTTCTTCACCTACAGTGTTCTACTCTGTGACCTGACTGTGTGTGTGTGTGTGTGTGTGTRTGTGTGTGTGTGTGTGTGTTGCTGATTATTTTTAAAGGCTTGAGGGAGAAGTAGAAATGTGTTTTGTCACTTCTGCTTGTAGTGCCTCATGTTCATACAAGCCAAAGAGACCCCAAACAGACCTATCCCTTTCCCTCACAGCCCTTCTGCCCATCTGAGATTGTGGGAGTGCCACCAAGTACAGATGGGGGATGAAATGAGAAAAGCATTCATGGCRGGCAGGAGACATGATTCTGGCCCAATCTCTGCCACTAAGGATGGATGTGACAGGGAACAAGTTACTTACTCTCCTTTAGCCGTGAAATCAAAGTTGGATTGGTGGCCTCTAAAGGCTTTTATCCCCTCCTCAGTTGTGAAAAACTAGGCCGAAAAAAAATGGAATAAGCAGAGCTTGTGTTGTAGCTCAGTAGTTGAGTGCTTGCCTCACATGTGTGAGGCACTGGGTTCGATCCTCAGCACCACATACATACATACATACATACATACATACATACATAAAGCAAAGATATTTAAAAGGAAAAAAAAGGAAACAAAGCACAGAGAATTTCACAAGGTATTATATCATAGTTGCAGAAGGCTTTGTATATGCCTACAATAAAGGGTCTGTTTATATTTTTAGCATTTTAATGCTATCCATTAAACTTTCATAGTCACATATTTCTCAAGTGTTTTTTTTTTTTTTTTGCTGAGGGCCATTGCCAAGTAGGAATGACACATTGAAATTTCCTTGCCAGCGTACCCCATGCTGCTTAGAGGACATTCAATGGGACATTGCATGTATGCTTTAGTAAGGTGACCTTGCTCAAAGACCAGGGCGGATCCGGGTTTAGAGCTGATCAGGTTTGATCAGGTTTGAGGAAGTTTCCCGCTCCTTGAGTTTAAGGCGTTCCCGGTTTAAGACAATAGGGGTTTTAGGGAAGTTGGAGGTTGAAGATTATTGCTGCTGGGATTAGGGTGTTCCTGCTGCTTGTTCCCGTTGAGTTCTCGTGAGATTAAAATGGGATTTGGAGTAGGTGAATTGTGCGGGAGATTTTAGATTGCCCCTGAACCTGTGTGGAGGCGGTGTGAGTTCGGGAATAAAGAATTGCTGTTTGAATCTACAAGGCTGTGTGGTGCCTCCTGATCTTGTGCCCAGCCAAGACTGCGGCATTTTTTAAAATACTTCTTTTAGAATATTTATTTTTTAGTTAGAAGTGGATACAATATCTTTTATTTTTGTGTGGTGCTGAGGATTGAACCCAGTGCCTTATGCATGCTGGGCGAACACTCTATCTCTGATACACAACCCCAGCCCTGGAAATACATTTTATAGGGCCCCTTGAGCAAAGGCATTCTTTGTCTAATTTTTCGTTCACCTTATTCCCAGTTTTCTGTATCCCCTGCTAGTACTGGGCTTACTCACATCTTCTTGCAGTTCACCTCTTCCTAGCCACAGTCCAAACTGTGAGTAAATCAGAACTCCTGTTCTATTAGTGCATATTAAAGGACGAGATTATTTTCATTGTGTGGTGACATGTTCTCAGCCTTAATGTCTCTTTTTGTTACAGTAGCTTACTACTCACTTTTCTTTTTCAGTTTTTTAATAAGTATTAACTTTTTTTTTGCAATAATGCTTCCTGTATCTCAAATTTCACATCATAATAAAACATTAACCACCCACCCTTTATGCCTGCTGAACTGGAATTGATTCTGGATAGTATTTTTTAAATAAATGTTTTTATCCTTTATCCTTGACTGAACTTGATTATTTCTAGCTCCAATAAAGACTGTGGAAAAGTGTTTTGAAGAGAAGCATCAATCTKTACTCCTCCAGAGAGCACCAGGCACAATGTCTCAGCCAATTTGGAGTTCAGTATTTTGTTAGAGTGAAGCAAAATGTTAATGCTAAATAACTGTATGTGCTGAAATTAAATTGAGCTGGACATAGTGATATGCACCTGTAATCTCAGCGCTCAGGAGGAACACAAGTTTGAGGCCAGCTTCAGCAACTTAGTGAGTTCCTGTCTCAAAATAAATAAAGAGTTGAGGATGCAGCTCAGTGGTAGAGCACTCTAGGTTCAATCCCCAGCACTTAAGAAAAAAAAAATGTAGCTACTGAGAAGACTGAAGCAAGAATATCATGAGTTTGAGGCCAGCCTTAGCAATTTATCTAGACTTTCTCAAAATAAAAAAGGCTGGGGATATAAGTGGAAGAACACTACTAGCTTCAATACCCTATGAAAGAAGGAGGAAAAGAGAGAAAAAATTAACAATTATAAAAAGAGAATATCAAGTAGCAACTTGGAAGAAGAGCTGGCATGCCTAAGGTCTTTGGGAAATAGAGGATATTTGATTTCTTTTGCCTTCCTTTGCCTACATGCATATTTAATTCCCTCTGGATAGATCATATCCTTAATTCACAGCTGAATTTGCCATCTTTTGACATAGAAAAATTAAAAAATAAAAAGAGAATATCAAAATAGCTAAACCAAGGCTAAAAAGAGGTAAAGGCGTGTGCTTCTTCATGTTTGTGTATCCATGTGTACATGCATAGATATAAATAAACACACATGCAGAAATTCTAGGGAGCTTTCATTTTGAGCACTCTGTAACTGTGGCCCATCCTGGAGCTTCACCAGAATATTCTTAGTGCTGCTTAATTGTACACTTAAAAAATGATTAAAATGGTAAATTAATCCATGAAACACAACTAAAGGCATCTGCATCTGACCATCCTTCCCCTGGACTGCCTTCAAAGCTGACACTGCTAGGCTCTGTTTTCCTGCTTCTCTAGTTTATGCCACCAGCTTCCTCCACAYCACACCCACATTAAAGCTCACACACCTATTGCCCATCATGGGGCATCTAATGGTAATTGTAAGTTGTGTTTATGTATTAGTTTGGAAAACCCAATGCCACATGGCCTAAACCATAGATATAGTTACCAAACTTAACAAGATTTTGACAATTAACACATTAAGTTTTAGTTGGGGGGCTGGGGATGTGGCTCAAGCGGTAGCGCGCTCGCCTGGCATGCGTGTGGCCCGGGTTCGATCCTCAGCACTACATTCAAACAAAGACGTTGTGTCCGCCGAAAACTAAAAAATAAATATTAAAAAAATAATTCTCTCTGACTCTCTCTTTAAAAAAAAAAGTTTTAGTTGGGGTAAATAGTATTTGAAAATATCATTAAGTAATAACTCAGAGCATGAAAAGTACTTGATTAAAACTTCCAACAGGTTAACTTGTGAAAAATAAAAATAAAGACTGTGGGTCTCCCTCCTTTGCCAGTGTGTTGGCTCTCACAACTGTTTATTCCCACATCTGTCCTCCTTCACAACTCCCTTCCCATCTGGCATGAGCAAGAATGGTTCTGGGGAAATTTCTTCTTTATTAAGTATAGTACTCTCCTCGTTCTCTTCAAACAAAATGGGTTGTGAGTCATTTTACTCTGAGGTGAATAAATAGGAATGCTTTTAAAATTAGCAAATAACAGGAACCTGCACTTAAGCAGTTTCATAATCTAATTAGGAATGTTCCTTCCAGCTATTTGTTCAAAACTACAGGTTTAAAACAAATAAATCTCTGTAAACTAGCTGTTCCTGAGGGATTTTTATTGGGTATATTGTACAGGACACATGACCAGATTTACAGATTTCTATATGTTTATTTATACTTATAAATAACACTATCACATTAAAATGCTCTAAAATTAGATTGTGGGAGGGTTGTACAACTCTGCAAATACACTGAAATCACTGAGTTGTCCATTTACAGGACAAATTTTATGGTATGTAAACTGTATCTCAGCAATGAAACTAAAAATATATATACAGAAGCAACAACAACAACAAACACTAGAGTGATTTGGAAACACAATTTGGCAATGGCTAGCAATGTTATAGAGAGGCATATCCTACGAACCTAGCATTCTACCTTAGAGAAACTCTCACAGAAACCCAAAGAAGCACATATAAGGAGAAAGCTTATGGTAATATTCTTTGTAATAGTGAAAAACTGGAAACAACCTAGGTGACCTTCAGTAGGAGAATGCAGAAATACATGATGGTAGGTTCATATAATGGAACACTATAGAATATTCTAAATAATCAGCAAAACTACATGTATGAACCTGGGTAAATCTT